AAAAATGGCCACGGACCACGTGGCACGGGTGGAAAAATGGCCGTGGACCACGTGGAACGGGCGGAAAATGGCTCGTAAGTCGAGGCGAATTCGTAAGTAAAGGGAAATTTTTGGGGCCGGGGCTGATCGTATCTCGAAAATTTCGTAAGTAGGGGCGTTCGTAAGTAGAGGTACCACTGTAAGTTAATTAAAGTTAATAGGACTTGTTTCTTATATGCATAGAGTTGTGCTGTAAACAAGCTAAGTGAGGTGAGGATCTGTACTGTACCAGAAAAGAAGTATCCGATGTGTACTATGGAAAACCCATATGCCAAGGAGCTAATCCCCCAAAATAAAAAGCTGCCTTATACCTCAACAGACTACTGGATCTATGTAGTTCAGCAACTTCCAGCACTGGTTTTCTTGAGTTTCAATTAAGATGATTTTGCCAGTCCTACCTGCAGATCCCAGGACCTTTGGTATATAATGCATTTACTGTACGGTTCCTCATTTGAGAAAGATTAGCGAGAGAGAGATAGCTGTTGTTATTTTCAATTCCAATCAGTTCTAGTTTATATAGTAAGTGCTGGGAGCTGTTATTCAGCAATATCAGGAGGCAAAGGATCCCCAAACTTATCTTATAGAAACAGCCATAAGTTACTCTTATGGTTTTACAAATCTCAATATTATTGATCCCTTCCTTACAACCACTGGTTTCCACTGATAATAAACTCATGCAAATCACAGCAATTTATCCAGGAAATTCAGACCATTGCCCAAATTATCAAAACTGAATGAGTTAAACAATATGCCTTTCCAATTACTGTTTGAAACCTAATCAGCAACACCACAAAGCTGGCAGTCAAATGTCAACACGACATTTTTCAGATGAATGGGAAAGATGACCTGCTAAGCCTTTTTTATTAACATCACGTTTTACATATATAAAATAAATGTTATGCTTTACTTCTAATGATGAAAAAGCAGGACATCAACTGATCTGCAAAGATTTGTTACTCACTGCTGAAGTTAGTTATCTGCTCTAATTATTAGCATACTAAGTCATGAAAGTTTACTTACAGATAGACAGGTTCTCCAGAAGAAAATAGCAAGTGTAGCAATTCCAGCAAAGGCAGTGATAATAATAGGCTCCCAAGGAAATCCATGGAAATCAGGGCCAGGCTGCATGTTTTCAGGCAGTGTTGAAACCAGCTTAAAAAAAAAAAAAAGATAAGCCTCTACATTTAAAATAGTCTACATGGACATATAGAAATGGCAGGACACTACTCTGCAGATTTCACACAAGAAGGTTCACTCTAATTAATTCCATAACTTGTGTATCCCATTACAATCTTATTCCCAAAAACCACAGAGCCAGAGTCAAATGTATGCACAATGATCTGAAGAACAGCATAACAGATTTCAACAGAACCATCAGATTCTCTCCAGGAAAACAAGTTTAAGCTGAAACAAGAGTTAGAGTAGAAATTCAAGCAATTTTCTCCTACTCTGAATTCATTTAAAACAATTCTAATTTATATTCTTTATTATTTTTAGTATTCTAATTATAGACAAAAAATCCAGAAACTAATGGTAATAAATTAAGCCTAATTATATCCTAGTTTATAATTCCTGATTATTCACATTTAGATTCCAATACTTCACAGATTTTGAATGTATAATTTTCATCTTTCCATATAATACATTAACCTAACTTTTAAAACATGCACATATTCTATCAAATAGTTTTTTAGCATAGCTCATTAGGTTTGCCTTATCTCCCCCATCCATAATCTTGGAAAAAATAACTTGCTGTAATGTTATCCTTTTACTCCATGATAGGATGCTACTTAAAAAGTACCTCAAATAATTAGTTTACCACTAAAGACTAAAACAATGTAAATTTAATATACTGCTGAAGCCAAACAAATTTATATTTAAACAATATGTTAACGCTGTACCTAACATATAATTAAGAAAACACAGATGGAACTAATTTAAAGTGCTTTCTCCTGAACTCCACATCCCTATATTTTATGTTTTCAGATGGATGTGTGTATTCTTAAAAATGTTACACACTCTGACAGCTTCCTATACTGTGTATTTCAAACATTTTACAATCCAGGTGATTACACATTTACAGTTTCAATATCAGAAGTCAACATACAGTTATACCAAGTACTTATTCCTTCACATGGCTCCTCAAACATTAAGAATTAGAACTAAATTATCAACACAGAAACAAATAATTCATATATAAATTATTTTTCTACCACCACTAAAGACACTGCTGTAACTAATAACTTTTATTCCCTTCAGCATTTGGAGAAAGCAAGTAAGGATTCAACTTCTTCAATCCTTTACCCCACCCCCCCAAAAAAACCACCTCTGCTTGATTTCCTTGGCACCTCTCACATTTACACAAGACCACCAAAAGCCATAAAAATCTGGTCCTAAAGTACGAAGGATATCTATCCATGTGATTGCTAGGAGTGGAAAACGACTTGATGGCACATGAAGCCAGCATTTAGTTCTGGCAGTTTTTTTTAAATTACTAGTTACAGTATTTCCAAAGCAACAACGCACCTTCTTTTCCCAGCAACCCCGACCCAATTTCCACTTAATTTCTTCGCCGACAGAGCGGCTTTCACCGCCTCCCTCCATCACCGTGATAACAGCGGTCTTCACCAGGCCCCGCAGCCCTGCCGACACGTCCCCCTCGTCCTTGCCCGCCCGCAGCCGTGGAAATTTGGCCAGGCACGGAAAGCAACCGGCAACCGCGCTCCTCCTCGCGAAGAGACCTTCCGGTCCCCCTCGTTCGCCCCCCCCTTTCCTCACCCACAAAAGACGGCCCGTAAAGGAAGCATAGCCCCAGGACAGCGGCCCCAGGAGCAGAGCGGCGCCACTGCCGCCGGAAGGAACAACGGATTCCATCGAGAAACTGGCCTGCGACGAATCTCTCTCTCTCCTCCTCGCCCGTTGGTGAGGCAGCCCCCGCTCCCGGCTCCTATTTCCACAGGGACACGTCACCTCACTGTGACCCCACCATGACCCCTCGACGTCATCGGCCCGTGCCTGCAAGTCACGGTTGGAGGTTCCGGAAGCGGGGAAGCTTCGCCGGCTTCTGACCGGAAGATGGGTGCAGGAAGGGCATGTAAGCTCGCTAGTTAAGACTAACTCTTGGTAAAAAGGGTTCGGGGTGGGTGGGGTTTTTTTTGGTAAGCTGTGATGACAGGGGAAATGTCTTTTATATGCGAATGGCCGTAATACGTTAATTGGACTCTTTTGCGCTCCTGAAAAGCATATGAATATGCTTTCCTTATTATGTAGCAAACAAGATAGGGAAACGGAACTTAGAGCGCAGATTCTAGGTTTCGGCAATCTCAAGATTCCAATATTCGGAGCTCAGATCTACTGAGCCCCATGTAAGAAGGCAAAACTACATGGGGGTTCTCAAATGTGCTTAAAAACCCAGTAAGCCATATACACAGGCCAGCAGAAGCAAGCTCCAAATCAAGTTGTGTTACATAAATAGCTATTTTCCTACTGCATTTTAAAACTAAAAAATGCTCCACTATACTTTCCTTTTTTACCCCTACATGTTTATAATTTTCTTCAAAAGAAGACTTAAATGCCACTGATACTATTTGAACTATGTTCAGACTAGGCTGCAAATACTGTGCACATTTAAATTCTGCAATACTACAGTACAGTTACATGGAATCAAATTCTATTAAAGCATATGGGAATTAGTTTTGGCTTTTAAATCTACTATATGCCAAGAAAGATAAAATACTTACAATTTCTGTGATGGGTTGCATATTTTCTTTGGCTGACACGACTACACCATCCAAGATAGAAAGAATGTATGGAGCAGCAGAGTTTCCTTCTGATAGATTACTATCTTCTTGCATTGCATCATCCTTAGCATTAATTTGACCTTAGATTAAAACATAGATTTTGAGCCTTTTAATGAAATTGTTTATTTTTATTGAACAATAATTTTGGGGCATCTCAACACAACTGTAATAATCATGTTAGTATGTAAAAGCAAAGCAAAATCTTGTGGCATAAGTTTTCATAAATACAGCCTACTTCATCAGACACATAAAATATTTCTGTTGGCAGGGTGCATGTGTATGTATATGCTAGGGCTGTCCACATCTTTGAAAGGTGCTACGGAAAGCATAGCAACAAGCATGCAGTATCTTTTTTTCAAATCCTTAAAACAGCCACATTGTTTTACAGGGTCATGCAGCTTACTTCACTTTACTGAGGAAAACAAAGCAGGGATTGTGCATACACATACAGGGGGAGATAGCTGGAAACAGCTTCTGAAGCAGCCACTTGAGTGTGGAAATAAATGTGGCTGGTAGAAGTGCTCTGTATCCCTGTTCATTTCAAAGCTTTTCTTCCAAAGTATTTGCACTGCTTCAGTACCTACAGGTAGATTTTAAAAAAGGAAATCAGTGGGATCACATTTGATAAGCTACTTTTTACGTCCCACATTTAATTCTATTTTTTTCTATATTCATATGCGTGTGAAAAAAGGAGTGTGAAAAAATATGTGTGTGAAAAAAGGAGGAAGCATTGCCTGCACATTTTCTTCTGCCACCACACTACAGGTAGTTCTCACTTAACTACCACAATTGGGGCAGGAATTTCTGTCGCTAAGCAATGTGGTTGTAAAGTGAGATATCACGTGACCACTTTGCTTAGCAATTGCAATCCCGGCATGGCCGGTTGCTGTTGTTAACCGAGAATTGCTGATTTTGATCAGGTAACCGTGGGGGCACTGCAACAGCTGTAATTTTGGGCATAAGTCCATTTTTTCAGCACCATAGTAATTTTGAATGGTTGCTGAACAAATGGTAATAAAGCAAGGACTACCTGTATGGTGATCTCAAAGTACTGTCTTATTGTTCAAGTACAACGTTTGGAGAAAAGTCCATAGTGGCTAAGCAACCTACTGTACACTTTAATGTGAAAAAATTCATACAATATGGAAACCACAACCAGCAATACTACTAAATGAATCAAAAGAAGTATATGTTTTAAACAAATAAAAATATGCTTTACAGATCTCATAGAATCATAGAACTGAAAGGGTCTGTTTAAGACCACTGGTTCAACCTCCTAGCATTTTAAGGTATCAAAACAGTCTAACCGTCCAAACATCTACTTTGTCAGCCAAACTACTTGACACTGCACTTTCACAATCTGATTTGATAAAAAGCTGAATAAGTATTTCTGCAGACATGATGCAAAAACTCCCAACAGGGAATCAGCTTAAAAGACCAACATCCAAGACACTGAACTATATTCAGGATCTGTTTACAAATTTCATCTAAAAAATACAGGAGGAAGAAAAGGGGTGGTTCACAAGAAATATAATCCCCTCATTCTAGTCTCCAGGAAACAAATTCCTAAATTTCAAAATCTATACTGCTCCCTACAACTTTAGAGAAATAACTGTAATTTTACATTTAATTATAATACCTTTTTATATATCCTACAAAAGAATATACATGACTTAGTAGCTGCACTCTGCTAGCTTTCTTTAACTATGTCTCCAGATCTCTTTTATAAACTATGTTTTAAGAATTTTTGGATCCTACTGAAATGCCTTGCAACTATATAGTTCCACTATATTTTTAAAAACACAGACCAACTGAAAATAACTCTTTATGCAGCTGACAAATCAGTTTCTAGACCAAGATAGCTTACAACATAATGAATAATACATATATTTGCCTTTTAATTCTCACTAGACTCCACTATTTTGTGGAACTTTGTAATAAGGCTACCTCTTTTGAAGTTATATTTTCGCTGTTTGTATTTTGAAGTCTGCTTAACTCTTTTTTTAACTGTACCCCTGATCTGTACATTTCAGTTTTATAGTTTAATCATAATGGATGGTGAGGGATTCTAGAAATTGTAATTTACTAACATCAAAAAAGACATTGATTACCAGTCCCTCACTGAACTCATTTTTGAATAGACTTGACTGGACTCATTGATTCGATTTTTTAACTAGAATTGTATCTTAGTTTATATTCAATTTCAGCTTGACAACAAGAATCCTCAGAAAGTTTACTCAGAAGCAAATCCATTCAATTTACTGGGACTTATCCTCTAGTAGAAGTTTCAGAACTGCAATCTTAGTATGACTTGTCAATGTTTTTGATTAGACTTTTTGAAATACTGGGCTCAAATGATCCTACTTCAGACATATTATGCAAAGACCTAGCTCTCTGGAGAAGACTCTAATGCTGGGAAAGGTGGAGGGAAAGAGAGGGGGAGGACAACCAGCAGCAAGGCTATGAGTGCACCATTGGAAGACTTGAAAGACCAGGTCAGGGACAGATCCCCATGGAGAAAATCTATCTATGTGGTTGCTAGGAGTCGACAGCAACTTGATGGCACATAATCAGTCAATTAATTTTGAAATATAGTGTTTCTTGTTCCATCATCATGAGGCAAGTACAATGAACTCCTAGCACTACTTAGAGAAAAACAATGCTTTGATTCCACTGCTGAATTTATACTTTGTCCCTAGTTATTGTTTGCTTAATTATGATTTATTGAATACACTATAATTACTTAGGTTTGTATCATACCCTAGGCCACAAACCATGGCTTATAAACCACACTGACTAGGTTGTCATAATCTGTTAAACTGAAACCAAATAGCTCTATGGGTTTGATATAACCTGATTCATGGTAGCAAAATTTTTCCCTCTTAAGCATTTGTCTCTTTAAAAATTTACATGCAGAAGAGGATGTCTCTCTAGTATGAACATATCTTTAAAAACAATTGTTTTATGATTTATAATCTTGCAGCTGCTTTTATATGCTACTTTTGTATAAACAAACAAATAAGAAACAAACTACCATGAAAGTTACCTGAAATGAAGTCTTTTTTAGATCCTGAATCAACTGATCCAAAGACAATATCCATATTTGGCAAGCTTCTGTCACTCTCAGGAACATCCTTGTTTTCCATATTAACCACAATTTCAGTCTCTGTCAAAATGTTCCTTTCTTCTTTTAATTGATCCAGTTGAACAATTTCTTCTTTTTCAAGTATCTGCTCTATGTCTTGAGGAAACTTTTGATCTATGCCCTCCACCAGGGTTTCCACAGTATGTCTGTCATATTCTGTTTGTTTTCCATTAGCTACAGTGAGTAGAGATATGTATCTTAGTTATAAGCTCACACTTTACTTACCTCTCGACTTATGTTTACTTAGATACATTTTTCTTGCAAATTTATTTTAGTTATCTCTAATTTAGTGTTTGAAATTAAGCACAATACATACATAGATATTAAAACCACTTTCTTTCCTGCAAGAATCCTGCAGGAGTTGTGGGTTTTTTATGGTTAACATCTTTTGTTTTTTCTTGCCTTTTTTTCATCTTAGAACTCATAGCAGCAAATTCCTAGGTAGTCTTGTAAGCAGGCATTGACCAGACCTTGTTAGCTATAGTACATTGCTTATACTTTCCAATAAGATTACAGTCCAGATTGCTAAGATTTTGGGAACAAAATAAATAAGATAGAGTCACAATGTAATGTCTCTTTTCCCAGGACATGACTTATTTTATCCAAATTATTATTGTTGTTGTTTTCAATATTAATTCTTGAACAGAACTGGTACAAATTTTTTATCAGTAACACACCAGTAATCTTAATATGCAAGATATATGAAAATGATACATATACAGTATCATTTTAATTGGGGTTGATCAAATTTCCTAGCCTCATTTTACTATCTTAATAAGGCACAGCCCAATTATAATAGTCTAGCCTCCAAATGTCAATTGGTGGACATTTGCTTGCAAGTTCATTTTTATTTTTAGGGAACGATGATACTGAGTTCTACAGTAATGCACAATTTGTTGCTAGGAATCTGGTTCCCTATGTAAAAGTATATAACAGATCCCCCAACTTACTTAAGCTTAAAGTAGCCCTCAGGACCGCTGCAACCTGGTGTGCAAATTGTGCACAGCACGAGATTGCCACATGAGGGGAGGGACCAGTTGCAAGTTAAAAAAATGTTTTAATGGCGGGCAAGTACAAATGCACACAGCTGGAAACAAGTGCAATATTTAATAAATTTTGAATATTTTTTAAAAAGTGGGGGGGGCACTAAATGGAGTTCTGCACAAGGCCACCTTGCATGCCAGCAGCAGTCCTGGTAACCCTACTGACAGCTCTGTCACCAAATCATTATAAAGCACAATCCTAAATATATTAGAAAATATGAACCACAAAGGGAATGGAATTTATTCCCAACTAAGTGGTGTGAAACTGCAGCCTTAAGTCTTACCTTTAATGGGATCAGGGAAGTCCATCCCCATGTTCGGAAGGGATGCAAGTGGGGCACTCTCGCTAACTGGAGAGTATTTTTGCCTTAATGAATACATTAGCTCCTGAATATCATCCATTAAAGCAGCTTCTTCATCAAACAAGTCTGTTTCTTTAATCTCCTCTTTATTTTCTAACTCCCTTGAATCTAAAACTTTGTTCAGAAGGTCCAGAATATTAGACTCTGAAGATTCAAGGATCTGATCCAAAGCTTTTTCAGTGTCCTCTTGATTATCACTATGTTTCTGAGCAAGCATCAGCTCTAATTCCATGTCATGAAACAAATACTCTATTCTGAAAAGATGCTGTTGCCCAAGATACTTTTGTAAACGTGCAATACGTTTTTCATCAAGAAACTCTTTCATTATAAGAAGCTGAGTCACAGACTCACTATATTCTGGCTCTGTAAGTTCATTTGGGTTTTCCATCACATCTCTGGAATCATGAAAGTGCTGGAACTGGTTTTCTGAGATCTGTGGAACTTTAAGGCCCTTTTCTGCAAAATCTGTAGCAAGGTGCTCATTCCTTTGACTGAAATCATAATCCCTTTCTTCTGGTTCAGAAATGTTTAAGTTGCTTGGCATTATTTTATCATGTATAGTTTTTTTCTCATGCAGAGATGTTTTAATTTCAGACAATATTGTTGACTTCATCTTCCCTTCCTTGTCTTCATTTCCCCTCATTTTATTCTGTTGAGAATTGTAATGTATTTGCACTGCTTCATCACTGGGCTCATTAAGTTCTTCCCCCATATCTTCTTGCTCAGCCTGATCAAGTGTCATTGCTTCTTCTCCTGTTTCATCAACAGGATTAGCAGTTTTTAAAATAGCATTATTTGGCATTTGCAGCTGAGGACTTGGAATTTCAGTATCTGATTTGAAACTCTGATCATCTATAAGTTGCTCCTTAGATAATTTTGCACTTTCAGCATTTTCATCTTGTAGTAACTCCTCTTCTGTTTCTTCTACAAAATCATCATCTTCAGCTTCTAGGTCTATGGGCTGAAGTTCTTCTGTGAGTGATTTTTCTGTATTTAAGTAATCAGCTTCATTTGAATCAATGGTATGTTGAGTAAGGTTTCTATGTTGTGTAATTCTCTTAGATTTTTCTAGAACAGTTTTTTTCTCAAATGTTTTCTTGCTACTGGTAAGGTCATCCTCTTCATTTTCTAAATCCTGCATTGCAGTTTCTTGTTGAGACTGTTCAATAGGGACTTCCGTATTTTTCTCATTGGAAATATTTCCCATTGCAGAGCCATTTAACTGCTCCTTACTACTGAAAATCTTTCTTAATTCAAAATCTTCTTTATCTTCCTTTGTGTCATACTTTGTTTTTCCTTCTAAAAATTCAGGATCATCCATATCACTTAGCGACTTATTCATTAGGTCTTCTGACAAATCTAGTACTATATTCATTGGCTGATTACCTTTCTTATCTGTTTTGTCCATTTTTTCCAAGTTATTGTCCTCACTTTTTTCTTCTCCTCTTTCATTATCTTTTACTATTTTATCTAAAGAAAGGCTTTCTGGGTCAACTTTGATATCTAGAGGTGGACTTAATGTTTCTTCTGTTTTCATAGATGTTTTAGGTTGCCGATCATCTGCATAATTAGAAAAAGTATCCAAATTATGTATAGAAGTGCTTGGCAGTTGTTCTTCTCTAGTTTGTTCTTCTTTATTTTTTGTATCCTCTTCTGCATAGTACTGAGTTGTATCTGTTTCTTCTGTAAGGTCTCTGATATTTACATCATGCATCTCTTCTTTAATAAAATCATGTTCTGATATTACAGGATCATCTTCAGATGAAGTATCTGAATGTGCTAACACATGCTCAATATTTTGCTGTTTTCTAGATAAAGCTTCTTCTTCCTCCTCCTCCTCCTCCTCCTCTTCTCCTCCTCCTTTTTTGTCATCATCAGTTTTATCAACTGTTCTGTCATCTGCACTGACAACTGCAAGAAAATTATCCCCTAAATGTACAGAATCATCTTTTGTTTCATGCTGCAGTTCTGCAGCAGTTTCCCCAGTACTATCATCACCGTTACCACCACCACCATCTTCATCATCATTATCATCATCACTATTGCTGCTTGCTTCTGATTCAAATATACCATCAGATGACGTCTTTTCAGCTTCTGGGTCTTCTGACAATGTGATTTCTTCTTTTTCTACAAATGATAATGAAGGAATTTCTTCTGATTGTGCTTCTGGTTCTTGTTGCTTCTCTATATTGTAAGAATCAATGTCCAGATCTTCCCTGAAGTTGTCATCATCAGGTGATGTAACAAGGCTAGTTGTCTCATCATCAGATACAAGGGCATCTGCAGTTGAGCCAAATGTTGTTTTCAAGTCTTCTGATACTTCTTGATCTAAAAGTGTATAAGCAGCATCATTTTTATCTCCATAATCTGATTTAGTTTCACCCTGAGACTTGTTATAATTTTTGGCACTTTCATGTTTTGGCACTTTTAATGTTTCCTGCAGCATTTCTTCTGAAGGTTGATGTGCATTTTTGTCTCCCTGAGAATTGTCTGTCTCCTTACTTACAAGGCTCTCCCCCTTGGAATCAAGAGCTTCTTCTACATTCTCATTTTTTTTATGGAGAAAACTGCCATGTTCACCAATTTTGGCATAGTCCTCATTGTCTTTTAAGCCTACTTCAAAACCATTATCAATCTCTGGATCAACAGACACTGTCCAATCAATCACTTCTTCCTTTACTGTTTCCAACTCTGGTTCTTTAGTTTCCATGTTCTCTGATAGCTTTAAAAGTTCATTCACATTATAGTTGTCAAAATCATCTTTGTCTCCATCAAAGCAAACAAAATCTGTTTCCTGAAAGAAAAAAATTAAATTTTTTAAAAATTTACATTTACATTAATTGTTCCTAATGACTAAATAAGTGATCAAACTAGCAGTCAGAAGCTCTTTAAAATATAAAAAAGATCTGGGCTGCAATCCTCTTATATTTACATATGAGTAAAGCCCATCAAGCCTATTTGGGATTTCATAACTATGCATTGTATCAGGTTGCACAGAACATAAGGTATGTTAGATTGGACTATATCACAACTTACATACCACTATCTTCAAGCTACAAATGCAATCCTATATTCACAATGAAACTGGACTGCACTGGATTATATTGAAGTAGGCAATGATGCCATTTAACATAAATACACTTCACAAAATCTGGTAATCTGATATGGTAGGAGCCTGCCAATGCCCTTCTTTTCTACGTCCCAGTCAGGCTGGAAAATAAAGGTTTACTGAATCTGCTGTGCATTTTCATACATGACTAGTGAAGAAAGAAAGGACTGACAACTGTTGAGTCAGCGGGATGCATTTTGTGCAAGCTTGATAAACTAGTAGAATTCTCCCCAATATTTCAAAAAACTAATTGCACCCAGTTAATGGTTAGCCTATACACAGACAAACATTTGATGAACTGTTTCCTTCTTTTCCCATCAATCTTTCTCCTCTGCACTCTGTTTCTACTGTCTGCATATGATTCTATTATGGCATGTAGCTGGAAAACAACACACAAATTTAAATAACTTACATCTGTTGGTAATTCTAGCTCATCATGAGTATAAATATGATTTATTTCAAGTAAATCCTTGGGAAAATATCCAAATTCATTTCCAACCTGTCAGGAAAACAAAGAATAGTGTAAGAAGAAAACTTTGTACTACACTTTGTAAATAGTGTAGTAAGAAAACTATTTCCCCCCGTTTCAGCCCAGCTATGTATAATAGCCCATACAGAAGCACAAACTCTAGCAAACTAGGTTCCAATCCAGAGGTTCAGCAAGTAAGACCAACATCTTCCACAGGACATTTAAATATTATTTAAAAAATAACTGTACTGCACCAGGATACCTGTTTATGGCACTTCAGATGCCTTTTTAGTGATTTTATTTCCTTCCATAATTTTAAAATTATGTAAATTAGAGCCACAGAATAAAATAAGTTTTAGTCCATTGTTCTAAACAAAATTAAATGAAAGCTACTGTTAGAATGATATTACTCCAAATGCATCCAAATATTATTTAAGACGTAATTGACAGTCATATGTCTTTAAAATGTTCAGATAAATACATTTGTTTTTACTTTGTTACTCTGTTCTTTTAGTATGTCCCATTATCAATAAAGTGCCAATGCCATTACCTTCTTGATTATCCTAGCCAAAACTGATATATTTCAAATTGGGTTGTAATTTCCTAGATTTTCCAGGCCAAGGGAAGGTGTTTTTATAACACTTTTTAAACTACTTTACAGAAGGGGAGACACTGCACCCACAAGAAAACGTTAATTACCTCCTAAACCAGTGCCATCCTGGTCAATCTGATCAGCCAGGAGGGGAAAGGGGCAGATACCTTGTCTACATCCTCAAAATCCATAGGCTGAAAGGAATCCAAATAATAGGATTTTGTAAAGGGTTGTATCATCATTTTTGTAAAGGTTGTATCATCATATTTTGACCCAAAATTGGAGTCAAGTGAACATTGCTGCAAAAGCATTTCCTCCCTCTTTGTTGATATACACAATTCCCTCTTGCCACTTGAAATGGGAAAACTCCTATTCCAGTAAAACAAACACTATAAAAAACAGCAAAACCTGTAATCCCAAACTCATTTCATAGGGAGCTATAGCAGAACTTCTTCTGAATAAATTCATAAGAGGCTTACACTGTCTGATGCATTCATACTATGTTCTCTAGGTTATTGCAACTGTTATCAGGAAGCCAGTATTAACAGTGAAGAATTGCCCCTGAGATTAGATAACCTTGGCAATTAGATGCTGGCAGAACACACTAAAAGTAAACACACTCTCTAGAGATATCATGTGTAGTTAGAGTGTGCTTTGTGAGTGTTGCCCTTTTCTGGCAATAGCTTTTATTATAGGAAGAACTAGATAGCCTTTTATTTAGTAATGTTCTTGACATTTACAAATAATTTGATTGCTCAAATTTTCTAAAATTATTTTTATTGATAAAATAGTGAAATACAAAATAGAGACCAAATTCTAATTTTAATATGTTTAATATTGTGGTTTCAATTGGTTTTGTACAATGTGAGAATAGATTCTAAATACTTAGGATTTTGGATCCAAGAAATATTTTCCTAGAGGGTATTTGTTCTCTTAAAAGATGGCAAAGTAAAAAGAAAATCAGAAGGGAATTACTATATCAGCATGATACAATGATTCCATTCTGCCACTTTCTCTGTACGCAACTTTTTTCATTTGAGCGATTTTAACTTTTGTTGAGAAGCTGTTATGTCATAGCTCCAGTCACATATCTAACGCAAACAGCTCAGAGCAGCAGGTCTTCTTTTATACAGGAAAATAATCTTTTCAGAGATAAAGTGAGCCCTGTCATCCAGTATAGCCACTTCTAAGGATCTGTTCAGAAGTGACGTATTAGTTAGAAAGGGCAGCCTATAATATCTCCTTAACTCTCACTTGCAAAAGAAAATAGCACTCAGCGTAAGATGAATTTGAACTGAAAGCAGTATCTCTGAAAGAAATTCCAGCATCAACCTAAGATAACAACATCATGCTAAGCCAGAAACAAACAAAACCAACTATATTAGAGTTCAGAGTAATGTGTACTGAAGAAAGATCCATGGATATCACAGCAATTTGAGTCAACTCACTCGTATTATTTTAAATGTCACTTAGTTGAGGCTACTAGCATGCAATGTTTACCACAGAGAATGCTGTCCAATAGCACAGTCACTCTTAACAGGTGGCATGCGTACCACAGGTGGGACTCTGAAGTAGTCTGTATGAGTCACAGAGTAAGCTTTCAAAACTTTAAGTCTTTAAAATTTACTGTGGATAATAAGAATGTCTTTAAGAAATTGTTGGGGACAAGAAACCTGTCGTTTCAGCTAATACACTTACATCCTCAAGCTTATTTCAGTAGTATCTGAAATGTTACTATAATTAACTTTTTCAATTGAAATTAAGTACAGAATGTTCGAATTATTAAAAATGTGCTTACTAATAAAATGTTCTTGCATGACACGGCAGATTTATATTTATGAGATAAAAACTCTCTCTCTTTCTCTGGTTAATATAGTTTGCCATGAAGGAACATTTTATTATTATAATTATTAGTTTAAATGATCTCTCAGAAATGTAATTATTTAAATGGGATGAACTGGCAATGGCATTTTCACTTTCCTATTAGATGTGACCTTAATATGGGAACAGAAATAGGATGCAGATTCCTCAACAATTGGCAGATTTCCCTTCAAAAGAAATTGTTCTACTTCAAGGTAGCAGATCTACCTTAAAAAAAAGAGAAGGACGAGCTGGTTCAAGTAAACAATACTTGAATACTGTTACAATTGCTAGGAATCCATTGTTTCCTAAGATAAACTGATATTTGGTCAAGGAGGGATTAGAGATATATATTCCTAAAAGGGAATACTATCCATACAGAGTCAGATTCAAGACCAGTGATCTGTGTGGGTGAAGGAAAAGGAAACTGTTAACCAATTACTTAATTTAGAATATGCCACAGAGACTATGGTTGGATAATCAGACATTTGTCTCTGCAATGATATTCCTCAGTCTTCTCCTCAAATCAAAATACCTCTATCAACAATTTACCATTTTATCCCAACTTTGAAATGGTGGTTATTTCAGAACAAGCTAAGATATTAAAGCATAATTGGTCACTATCACAATTTGTTTACAACCTGATCACAGCTAACTGTTGTAAATAAAAAGCAGACCAGGCAGCCTGTACTACTTAATAGAAATTAAGTAGTACAGCTGCCTGGTTTGCTTTTTATTTACAACACTAACCAGAAGCAAGGACATACCTTAAAACAGTCAACATCATTGATTTTACATTTGAGTCCAGAAAAAACCATGTCAGATCCCAAAATCAAGCTATTTCTAATCCTTTTCTTTGTCCAATTCAAAATTTGTATCATGCCGTATCTATTTTCGACTACTGGTATCATACCTTAATAGGCAGAGAAATGAATGAATTATCTCCTTACTATACTAACAAACAACAAAGCCTTTAATTAGTCACAGTTCTCCAAATATTTCTCAGCAAAATTAGGATGACTTCGTAATACAGGAAATTTTAAAAAAATGGTGAACACAGTCATATACAAATAAAATTCTAATTAAAACATTAATTAAAGCATCAGGTTTTCCAATGTTTGTAAAAACAAAAACAAACTTACACTTCCAGCCCAAAGCTCATTTGTTCTTCCGGTTAATTTATAATATACATATATCGATTCACCTTCTTTAAAATCTACAAAACGACAATCTGGACCTTTAAAATCCTTTACTGCCTTTCCTCGACACATTAGCACTGTTGAAAGAAAGAGAGAGAAAAATAAGACACAGTAAAGGAAATCTGTCACTGACGTATAGTCCATCGTGTTCACAAAAGAACACACGCAGCCCAGGAATGAAAACTTAGACACTAATGTACTAAAATTATGTCTTTGTTTCTTAGCACAATGAAACCCAGTCCATGATTTCACTGATTTCAGGGTACCATCTCTGAAAAAAATCTACCTACAGGAGCCCTGGTGCTGCAGAGTAAGCAAGATGACCTTGAGGAAAATATAGCAGGAACTGTTTTCTGGGCAAAAGGGGCTAAAATGTGTTTTATGTCCAGAGAAACAAGATAACATTTGGAAGCAGCTCAGGCAGATGCCTCCCTAGTTTACTAGATGAGGAAGTTCAACACAATCAGACTTGTAAGATTTTGTTATAGCCAATCTCCATAAAAGTAGTTTTAACCTTCCTATGGAGTTAATTTCCTGGTCTGGTCTACCTAGTGAGAGTGAGATCTGGAGCAGGGCCTGCTTAATGGTGGTGCCCTTCGGGTGAAACTGCTTCCCCCCACATACAAGAGTTGTGTATTCCCTCGTGTCCAAACAGAGGTGAAAACTTGTCTCTGGAAAATAGCATTTGGGGGATGCAAGGTTTTCTTTTATGATCTTCCTCTGCAGGTTAGTACTAGTATAATATATATCAAGTATCTGAACCATTGAGAGTAGAGTGGCATAAAAATACCATTTATAAAAGTTACAACGGAGCCTCAAAAGACTTTAACAGTTGGGTACAGAACTCTTTTTCTGACACAGCACATCTCAGGCTGTGTGATGCAGCTGCATGGGGTGATGTCGAGGATCAAGCCTGTCTCTCCAGTGAACTCAAAAGTCATACAGTACACAGAGGTGATGCAGAGAATGTTTCTCAGCTTTAATTCCAAACCAGCTTTTTTTTTTAATTCTGCCATAAATTCTGCAGTAATCAAAGAAGCCTAATTGCCGGTAAGTTTTACAGCGGCCCAAACAAGCCTCGACGGCTGTCACCTCCCACCCCAATAAGCAGCACAGGAAAAGCAGGGAGCGAGGAACGCTCAGCCGCCAGAGGATCCGAAGCAGCAAAAGGCGTCGCTCGCTCTTCGCAGCCACGAAAGGCGAGAGGAGAGACGCCCGCCGCTCCCGCGTCCCTCCCCAGCTCCCTAGGAGCCCCAGCTCGGGAGCGAAACCGCGGCTCTGCGAAGGGAAGCAGAGGCTACAGACCACCCTCTCCCCTCCCGAGCGCCCGGGAGGAAGGACGCAGCCCAGCGGGCTCTGCTCGGTGTGGCCTTGGGGATGCCACAGGTCCAGATCTGCTGCGGCTCGGCAGTCGCAGGGACCCGGCGGACGCCCTCCTCCCTTCCACTTACTGCTACATTCGGGGTCGGCGCAGCGCTTGTATTCGGCGAACCGGCGGTCCGGATCCCGGCTGGCGTGACTGGGGGCCGCCGGGGTGCAGAGCAGCAGGGCGAGGAGCGGGAGCGCCGAGGGGAGACGCCGCCGCGCCGCAGCCATGTTTTAGTCGACGAGGGCCGCCGAGCTGGTGGGGGGGGGAGGTAAAGCAGACACGTCAGCAGAACCGGCCGGGGGAAGGATATGGAGACGAGGAGGAGGAGCAGGAGCAGGAGCAGGAGCAGAAGCAGACGGCCGCTCTCCCCAGGCGGAGGGGATGGAGGCGCACCACGCCCTGCGAGGCGCCCTCGGAGCATCCTCAGCCGCCCCCAAAGCCCAGGGGGAGGAACGCTGCACCTTGCTTTCTAAGAGGCGTTCATCTCTTCATCCCTGAATCCATATATTACACGCACTCAAAAGATTTTTTTTTTCATCCTCTGTTATTTAAGAAAAGTTCTCCTGTTGACTTTCATCACTCTTTATTGTAGGAGGAGAGCCGTGTTAGTTTATGGTCCCCCAAAATCAGGAGTCTGGTAATAGCTTTTCTGACTAACAAATTTTATTAAAAAGCACAAGCTTTTGTGAGCTGCAGCTCATTTCATCAGATGCCTAAAGGGGCTAGACTGATGGAGGACTTAACATGCTGCAGTTATGAACTGATACAGTACTTATAATGTGTCTCACATGTAAGCTGTATCTGCATAACCAACCTATCTTCCCCTCTCTTTTCCCCACCCCAATTGAAATCCTACACCAGTTTAGCCCCTCTGTGCATTTTATGAAGTGAACTGCAGCTCACAATTTTTTTTAGTCAGAAAAGGTGCTACCAGATTCATGATTTTTCACTTCTCAAATAGCTGTGAGCTTAGGCCTTAACCTACTGAGCTGATGTGCAGTAAGCAAGGTTCATACAATTTATTTGGGTTTACTTGTTTCCCCAGTTAAAGTCTCGAAAGGGATGGATTTTACATCCAAAGTATCTCTCCAAAAAGAAAAATGAAAAGGGAGGGGGAGATCATTTTTCAAATAGGAGCGTTAAAATAAATAACTTAGACTAAAGGAAAGGAGGGAAATCCACTTTTTTTTTAATCTCCGGAAAATGATTTTCTTGCACATCGTCCAAGGCAGTAGGATGCAAGACAAACAGAACCTTCTCTGGCTTACTACCTTTGGTTAGTTTTTTGAAAGGATTATGCAAGTGAAAGATGTTACCTCTGAAGATATGGTTGAATGGAAAAGAACACAAGAATTAGTGTTGTACAGGAAAATATATTTATCTGACAAAACAAAAGCCAAGGTTTGTTGGATCTTGTGTCTTCACATGAAAGGAGCAGAGAGCATGCTACCTACTGAAATCCAACTGTGCTCATCTTTGGATGGTTGGCAGAAGGGCCCTTTAAAATAATTAAAACATGTAAAGCAGACAGAGTTCCTGGTGCCAAGCACACACTTTGGTTCAGTGTGTGACTGTATCAGTTGCAGTCCACTATGTTCTTCCAGTCATTGTTATTTTCTTATCTGAAATTATCATAAGTAATCGTAATGATTAACTATGCCAATACTGAGAATATAGTAAAACATCAGTCACAGTTATTGTTTTATTTTTGTTGCTGCTGTTGTTGCATACTATTTTCTGGAATCCTCAATGTTAACCCGAGTGTTCTGAAAGATTGCCTACTATCCCACTCCTTAAATGTTATGTTTAAATATAAGAGTAATTTTGTTACAGTTGGCTTACTTTTAAGTGACTTGTTGATAACTTTGATCTATATATTTTTGAATTGTAAGATTATTCACTCCCCCCCCCCCATGCTACATGGAATATTTACTGTAGGTTCTTCATTCACCAGAATATACAGTGGGGCAAAGAAGTATTTAGTCAGCCGCCAATTGTGCAAGTTCTCCCACTTAAAAAGATGAGAGAGGCC